ATATTATATTAATATCTATACCTAGCTTTGTATTTATATATTTATATTTACATTCATTTTACATTTACATTTACATTTATATTTATATTTATTTATATTTATATTTATACTTGTATTTATATTTATATTTGTATTTGTATTTGTACTTATATTTATATTTATATATATTTATATTTATTTATATTTATTTATCTTTATTTATATTTATTTACTTATATTTACATTTATTTATATTTATTTATATTTATATTTATATTTATATTTATATTTATATTTATATTTATATTTATATTTATATTTATATTTTTATTTATATTTATATTTATATTTATATTTATATTTATATTTATATTTATATTTATATTTATATTTATTTATATTTATTTATTTATTTATAAAATGTTTAATATATCATCATTTCGCGCTTCTTCTCCTTACGGGTGCAATATAAGAGAAGAACAAATTCTCTCGCTAGCAGATATACATAAACAAGTCAGTTTATTTTTTTAGGGTTTAGGGTTTAGGGTTTAGGGTTTGGGGTTTAAGGGTTTAGGGTTTAGGGTTTTAGGGTTTAGGGTTTAGGGTTTAGGGTTTTGTGTTTCAGGCTATCAAGTCAGGGGTTTTGCAGAAAGCAACGAAGGTGAAGACAGATTACTTTTTCTAGGGTTTAGGGTTTAGGGTTTAGGGTTTAGGGTTTAGGGTTTAGGGTTTAGGGTTTATGCATTATATGTGTGTTTTGGGTTTATCTTTGTTTCTAGGGTTTAGGGTTTTTATGTTGTTTTTGTTTTTAGGGATTAGGGTTTAGGGTTTATGTAGAAAGTATATAATTCTTTTCTTCTATTTATTTTCTTTTATCTATTTATTTTATTTATTTTATTTATTTTATTTATTTTATTTGTTTTATTTATCTTATTTACTTTTTTAATTTTATTTTTATTTTTTTTTCTTTATTCTTTGAATGCATTTTCTTTATTTTCTTTATTTTTTTTCCTACATTATGCGTTCTATTTATTTATTTTATTTATCTATTTATTTTA